TCAGCTAGACCTGACCGCCACTCCTCACAAGATCAAGTCGACGCCATCGAAGCGGCGGTCATTCATCGACCTTCTCGAATTGAGGGACAAATTGATGCGTACCTCAACGGAACACAAGAAAAACGGCTCGCATGTGTCAGTAGCAAGGTATTCGTGCTTCGCTTCTCTTTGCTTTCTTCACGTGACACTTTCGGGGGCGGAATGTCCTAAAGGGCCACTGGGAATAAATCCCCGAGGTGCTCTTATAAAGTGCTATCTCAGATGGCTTTTGATTAATCGTTTGAGGGCCATTCGACGCTGTTCCACTGGGCTGCACATAAAACTAAATGCCCTGTGCATAGCAGTGTAGAATGTTTTGGGCGCTTTAATTTGGATGATTGGGCATTGCCCTTTCCCCCACATTACTCCAAATGGCGTCCTTTAACTTATGGTCAGTATGATGGAATGTTCCACTGGTACTTATGGGAGTTGTTAAATTAGTGAAGAGTACCGCAACAAGGGGCGCCGTGTGAGGCCGAAGTACCCTCTCAATGGGCTCTAGCAAAGCAGAAGCGAGAATCTCGCGAGAAGGGGTGGGAAAGGGGGCGACATGGGAGAGAAAGGTAGGCAAAACCCGACTCCCATTAAAAATCACTGTCTGGAACATGTTTAATTTAATTCGTGGGGCTGTGGGTGACCACGGGGAGTTCCACTGAGAACAGAAGCGTAACATATTTCATGAAATATTAACCATAATCGTCCATAAGTGTGTCATTTTTCCCTTTTTCCTTCATTTGCACCCTTGTGTATTGTGAACTGTGTCAGTGAAGTAATTCTATGGAAGGATATATTAGAAGGCTAAATTGGCGAAAATGCAAAAACTTCTCCCCGGCCGGGAATTGAACCCGGGTCTCGCATGTGACAGACGCGGATACTCACCACCCTTACACTACCGAGACTGGCGAGTGGCCAGCCAGAAAATGGTTCAAATCAGAGCGCCAGGAGTCTCAGTTATATTTGTGCCAATTGAGGAATAGTAAACAACCAACAAGGGATAGGAATTCGGCGTAATAACCCTTCCGGCTACTCCAGCACACGGAAAATCCATTATATGTATTTGCGGATATTTGTGTTTTCGTGTCACAAATGAAACATTCGCAAAATCCGCCCATATGAAGTCGACGCATTCTGGATTTTTTGATTCATCGGGTCCTTATCATCAGTTAACCATAGAAATTAAATTTCAAATAATCATGAAACACTTGGGCGGAATTGATCTCTCAATGTGCATATGTTATAAACAGCGGCTCTTTAATTGCGCCACATTTACTACCTTGACAAGCAGAAAAAGCACAAAACAAAATCCTACTCAAAGAAATTCCCTAGCATGTCCTATTTTGAGAAGGTCTAATCGAAGAAGAAGGAATTGAGCAGTTACTTCAGTCCTCTTCGGGTTCAGTTGAGCTCCTTTCGAAATGGGTTGTCAGGGACCCACCCATAACTCACCGGGTGAGGGAAATTGAGTCTCTCAATTTGGCCGGTTAGCTGTTTTCCCAGTAAACAATTAAGGTCGCTGGGACCACAACAGAGAGTGAGTTGACAAGGGTTCTGTTGTGGTAGGGAGGCCGATAATCCGTTCTTTTTGATGGAGCCATGCTTCCGAGTGACAGAATCAACCCGATATTTAGTGTCTTGCGTGCGCGGGGTACTTACGGGTATTTCAGGACATTAATTTATGAGTCTGGCTACTTCACCAGATTTTTTGTGCAAGATTTTCTAAGCTTCTTCAAATTTACGATGTGATTCTAGACAGGGCAAACTTTTTACATTATACGAAGTTATACGAGTTTGGTAGTGGGATGGGTGAACTTTGCTACAGCGACTGTGGGCAAGGTAAAGGGGGGGGATTCCTGCATAAATACTGTAATGGTGCTAATGATAAGAGAAAAAAAGCAGTGGACTTAAAGGCAATGATCACGATGGACTAGGTCGTGTTACTCGACGGACTAGACCCCTCAGCGCGCTTGGTGGTCCGGCTGCCAACGTCCTTTCACCAGTGGCATTTAATGACTTCTCAAAACCGCAGCGCCCTTCAGTCATCGTGATCAATGCCATTAACGCCCAGATTCGCAGCGAGAAAAGACCTCAAAATCCAACAGTTGCTAGATTCGAAAGTTTTCGTCAGGTGATTAGCAATTGCCTCCTTTGACTTAGGACAAAAGCATACAAAAGCATCAGTTTGTGCTAGTGGTGGTTGTTGTTCTTTCTGCTACTGTTTGGCTACCTGCACGTGTGTTTTCTATAATATATAGAAGAAACAGACCACAGTAATAACATCTTCCAGTGAGGACGCACAAGCACAAGCCATGGTGGCGTCATTTTGTGGGCGGAGTTTCGACGATTGCGAGACGGACGAGATTGCTCAACGAATCCGGCGAGCAACAGCGAATATCAATGTGGAGATAGAGACACTGATGGAATTTCTCACACATAAAGGTGCCATCTCTTAGTCATCACCCCATCTGCTCAGCCAGAAACTTATAAAACCCTGCCGAAATCACCTCTCATTGGTTAGATCTCATCACATTTTTCCATTCTCTTTACTCTGATGCTCGCTCTTGAAGACTACAGCTGTGGTGGAATCCAAATCCAAATTTTTATTGCCCCCTGCATGGCGAAAACGGCGGGAATTAAGCCGATGTGTGTCTTTTCTTTCGAAGAGCTGGGCGCCCGGGACGAGTTTCTTACACTAGTTAATGCCGGCGGTTGCGTCGCGTGCGTGCCATCAGGGCGCGCATTTAGTTGCTTCTCAGCACATTTGAATTTCGCGCCAGTCGCCTTTTTACGTCATAGCGCGGAAATTCAGTGGTAGAGGAACGGTTATAGGAGTGGCAAAATGCGCGCGCCATGCCCACGGCGCAAAAGCGACGTTGACGATGGCAATGAAAACGTCAAAGAAATGTTTTTTTTTGTAGGGAACGTGACCCGAATGGCCAGCAAAAGCCCGTTTGTCTAACGGAAAGTCTGAGTTTGCGTCTACTTGTTTCCTATTTTTAAGAGGTAAGATTCTGAAGAAAAAGAAGGCCAACAATTGCGATTGCCTTGCTTCTATTTAAGGTCAAAAATCTCGGAAGCACTTGTATTTTACGAATGAAGGTCCTCAACACTTGGGTAACGCTGTCCCGCTCGAATCCACACCACCGCTACGCAACCGCGCGCGTCTGCCGTTGTGGAGCACACAAATGTCGTCTTCAAAGAGATCAGCACCAGATCTTAGGCTTAATTATATTGATCGCTAGTCGCTGTTTTCATATGATGTTCGATGGTTGTGACCAGTTTTCTTTCAGTTCCGTATTTATTCTTAGATCTAACCTCCCTGCTGCCTCACACATTAAATTTGATGAAGAATGTTCCGTCATTACACTCTGATCTCATTGTTTATGGTTATGAGCACTACCGATTATAAATATGCTCTAGTCTAACTTATTTATTGATTTACTGCCTTTTATTGGTCGTTTTGAATACATGAGGATTGGTAGAGACTTCACAGAACTCATGTGAATGCTCGAGAAAAAATGTTTATTACAACTTGTTGTTGTTGTTGTTTGTTCACTGTACTGCTACACTAACATACACGTTGTCGAGTTTACAGCCAAGAATAATGGCGCCGCACACCGAGCTTTGGAATCTACCGTGCTATAGGATCTGATCATAGTGCTGAGCCCTGAGTCCACCCGTCGAATTCCTTCTTGAACTTCCGAATTCCATCTAGAAAAGTAGGCTTTTTTGATCAGTCCACATTTGCCAGTTTTACAGCAACTGTTTATCAAAGAACTGTTGATATTTACAATGGACCGGGCGATAAGCGGGTTTTAATTATTGATCGCTTCGTTTCGCCGATAAGGTAGATGACCTCGAAATCAGGTGGTTTTTCGATCCAAAACGAACTAACCATAATTTGCTATGGTTTTTAATTTTCTGCCTTATTTTTCTTGGTTGGCTTTGCAATTTTCCTCTTTCCAAATCGATCAGTCCTGATCCGATTTTTCACAAATTTGAAGTAATTGCTTCTCTTTTTGGGTATCTAACGCAAACCCGTTAGCATCGGAATTTTGTTTGGTAATGACGAACATTCATGAACTGGGATGCGCCGTGCGTTCGATTCCAATTCAGAAATGGCAAGGCATCTGAAAACACTTTTGCTGCGCTACTACATGAAGGGAAACCCAATGTTGAAGTCGGCATTCATGTCCTTCTATAAACTCCATGTGGCGAAAAAAATCATTACATGTAAAAAGGAAAAAAACAAGTTTTCTGAAGGATCAAAGGGAACCACGTTTCGCAATAGGTAGCGGATGGGTTAAAGAAACTCGTTAGGTTCATGTCATAGCGGCCCAGGAGAAAAAAGCAGTCTGAAGAGCAAGAAGGATTGCTGCGTCTGGCGAGTGCCCCTTCTGCCTAATCTTCTAAAAGGCAGACGCCGTTCTCAGAGCGAACTAGAGATCCCGCTCTCGAATGTGGAATATTCTTCAGCTTACATCTTGTATGATATGAAAAGCTGATGGTGAGAATAAGAACGGGGTCGATGAAAGTCGAACGTTGTTGATAAATTCTACAGTGTAAGCCTCAAAGACTCCAAAGGGCTTCACAAATTTGAAAGAGTCAAATGCGAGGCGTATCAAAAAAAATTAATCACAAGAATTCTGAGTTGCGGACAAAACTTTCGAGCCAGCCGGGATTCGTACCCGGATCTCTTGCTTTCCGGGCAATTGTGCTACCTTTTGTGTTTTATCATTAAGCAAGAGATCCGAATACGGGAGGGGGCGAAGGTTTTGCCCACAACTCAGTATTCTTGTGTAACTTTCGCAACGCGACCTGCAACAGTTACCCAACAAATAGAGGTCGAACATTGAATATTTCAATCATTTCATCTTCACCGATCGCATGAGATGTACGGTTTCGAGTCTAAAGATCATCCGTCGGCATTTTCCCATGATCCGTTGATTATTCTCAATTATACCGGCGGATTGAATGTGTCATGCGCATTCAGCGGATTGGCTGACTATTGCCTGTCAGTTTATGTTTGTGAGTCAAGCATGTGACGAGGAACTCACCAAGTACGATCCACCTACATCATCCTCCTCTTGGCTCTCTACCTTTCAGCCCTTGTCCCCTATTTAGCCTTCCCCTGTTACCGTCTGTACGTGGAAATGGGTAGGATTGTACGCGC